TGACCTGAAACTTTGCCTGCATAAAGACGTCAACTAGACTAGCTTGCTTAAAAAAATTCAGGAGTTTTGAACAAAGTCTCTCTAAGATATAAAACTATCAAGGTATAGTTCCTTTTTCATAAATAATATATAGTATGTATGTTTTTCAAAGCTTCGTATCTTAGAGAGATTTTATTCAAAACTCCTGAATTTTTTTATGCAAGCTAGTCTAGTTGAGGCCTTTATGCAGGCAAAGTTTCAGGTCAAAATCGGAAAGTATAGCTTTGCTGACAATGTAGACGTACTCTAAAGAAAATTCACCAGGAGCTCGATATCTCCCCCAAAACAAGCCAGAAACCCGAGCTTTTTTTTACCATAGACACAGTTCACTTTTTGGACTACAATATGCGCGAAATCCCGGATAAAAAGCACTCGGACACCTGGGAATGTTCCCTCGTGAGCTATTTCTGATCAAGAAACCATGAATCATGATGGGCCAAGGTTCGAGCATCCATGGGCCGACTTTCATAGGGTAATTTCAGTCCATTTGGAGTTTTGGTCTTTTAATATTTTGAAAATCTCACCTGTACTAACCTACATGCACTCTATCGATTTTACATTAGGTTTCTGAATCTTTTGTGAATTTGAAACTATTGCTGTATAAGTGGCGTCAACAAATAGCAGTAATCCGTACTCGATGACCATTGGTAACTTGAACAACGATAACTATCTCGATATTGTTATTGTCGAATAAGGTGTTAATCGTGTGAATATACGTCTTACATACGCCAATGGAAAGTTTGTTCTACTGTCAATAGTCATTACTAATTTCAAAAAACATAATCGACTGAGCGTTGTCATTGCCAATTCTATGTCTAACACTTTGAGATTCTTTGTGAATATGTGTTAACATTATTAATGCGTCGCAGTGGGTTCTGATTCACATTAGGTTTGGAGAATAATAGCGTTTTCTTCAACTTTTGACACTCGTATAAAATAACATCCAAAATCCACAAAATCAGAGTTATTCGTCAAAACTCGAATGAATCGGAATGATTTTTAAAAAAAAGCCAGAATATCAGAATCAGCCACAACACATGCAATATTGTCCGTCATTTGTGTTCTGCATTAATTGCTCTACAATAAAAGCTCTATCAAAATAAACAATGTACCAAATCCAACTCTAGCCGATTTCAAAAATTGCAATTCGTTAGACTTGAGGGTAGGAATGCAGCAGATGTAGATGCCCACCGCTGTGGATATGTCTGTAGATATGGGTGTAATTTGTCCTTGTAGCTATACGCACAACCGAATTCATCCACTTTCACACTTCACACCCTAGTCGCAAGAAATTAAAATCCTGGAATTCATTGTTCTTCCTTAACAATTTCACTCTCTATGGATTTACTAAGCAGTTGCAAAGCTTCTAAATTATCAGTAATTCGATATTTGAGGGCTATAAAAGCATTTTTCTTTTTGCTTTATCAATTCATTGATTTTAATGGATAACATTTGACAACAGGCGTAGCTAGAAATCCGCATGAATAGATATCTAATTTACAAATATTTTTAAAAGTATTAGTCCATCTATGAATAATATCATCTTTCTGTTTTTCTTATTAAAAAATTAGAACAAAAAGTTATTTTACAATAGCATGAGTAGACTTTGACCTTCATTTGTCAATTTATTTATCTTATACTTGTTGATACTGATGATATCTATGGCGTATATATAAAAGAAAAAAAAATACCCTTGAGTTTTTCTTTTTGCAGAACATTCTTTGTTTTATCTTTCATATAATCATTTTCTTTTGTAGATTAGGTTTGAGAATGTCTTTTTTAAAACCAGCTGCTCCTTGTCATTCACTCTTTTACTTGTTCAAGAACTAGTAAAATGTATAGAAGAATCACGAAACACATAGCTTCAAACTATAATTAATTGAGACCATATGACACCATCAATACGATTGTAGTTTTTATAAAGCTGCATGTAAAATTTAAAACGAGTTATGTATATCATTTATCAATATTTTTGTTGCTTGAAAGACATTATATATCGAGGAACTGACAAAAAAAATTGTTTTGAAAAGCACAAAGGTTACTGGTAAGTACAGTATTCTTAATCGGCAGTTTTTAATTATATTCAATTTTCTATAAAGAATTTTTACATATGAAAATAATTGTTATCTAGTTTATTATTATTGCATGTTCGAAACCGGTTTTTGTTATTAATGTCTAAGTAAAGATTTACTGGATAGATTTTTTTTCTCTGTTCCCAAGTTTAAGACCAGAAAATAAGCTAAATCCTACTTGCGAACTAATTGGAAACTTAATCGACAAGTGTGTCAAATGAGACATAAAACAATTAAAAAGTATATACAAAGAAATGAACAGTAACTATCAACTATCATGTTTAGCTTGTCAAATTTTTCGATACACTCAAAACAAAGTGCCATTTAGATCTAGACTAGGAGTAAGTCTCTTTTGACAAAAAAAAACTCATTATTTGCAATGTATGCAACTTATTTTTGTGCTGCTTCTCTAACTAATTGTTTCAGATTTAGCTTTGAAAACTGAGTATAAGTAAGTTTTCAAATTGAATCTGCTCTTCAGACTTTGTTGATGGTGGCTACTCAAATTGGTACCATTCGCATGCTTATTGCTCGTTTTTGTAAGTCTATCTAGTTTTTTCTGTGTAAGTGATACAGCAAAACACTTTTTCTCATGTAATTCATCGTGCCATCAATCGTACAATTATTCATCCTTTTTTGGTTCTTTTCTTTTCTTTCTTGAGAAAAATTATTTTTGCTGAATTCTAAGCAAAATAACTCAAAAATATCTTCGTATTTCTCAATCCTCTTCATAAAAACTAAGTTTTTATGCAATAAGAGTCTTATATTCGAAATCAGCATATAAGACTAGGTCAACTGATGTATGTTTCCAAAATTTTCGTCATTTTTCACGTTTTTATAAAATTTTCAGCCACCACTTCAGAATAAAAACATTGAAGTCGATGAAAATACTAAAAGTATGCATCAATTCACCTTGTTACCTTAGACTGATTTCGAATACGATGTTTTTGCTGAATGAAAGCTTAGGTTTCATGAAGAAAATTGAGAAATATTGAGAGAATTCGAGTTATTTTGTCCAGAATTCAGCAAAAATAATTTTGCTCAACAATGAAAAGAAGGAAAACAAAAACGATCTGTACTTTTATGACTGATGATACGATGAATTACATGACATAAAATACTTGGCTTTATCACTTACAGAAAAAACTAGAAAGGTTTACAGAAACGAGTTATAAGAATGTGAATAGCACGAATTCGGGTTGTCGTTATAAGCAGAGTTTCAAGATCAAAACCGATTCGAAAGCATATTTACACTTAATTAATAACGCTGAATCTAAATAAATTAGTTACAGAAACAGCACAAAAAAAGTTAAATAAATTGAAAATAATGAGTATTTTACAAAAAATGACTTCTTCCCAACTTTTGAATTTTTTCGACTAGAAAACGCTATTGACAAAAACTAAGCGCTTATTTTTCTTAATTAGCAGCTCAAGCTCTATCGAACCATGTATAAAAAAACAGAAGAAAAAAATCCTACGTGAATGTTGAGTTACGTGCACCCTTACATAACTAAACACTATCCAGGACAATGGTGAGCTTTGAATGGCGATAAGCAAACATTTATGATTTTGTTTGATTATGCATATAATCTAGATCCTTCAGATTTTTAGATAATATGACTTATCACTTGTATTAACTTATCCATTGAATTATATCGATATAAAGTACATGTTGTTAAGGCCGCTCCCCACCTCTAAAAAGTCAATTTTCGTTAAAAAAATGATTTTTGAGATAAACATAGGAGTATGTCGTCTAAGATGTCTACATTACAAATATATAGCAATGTCATTGAATCTTGAAGATTTTCAAGGAGTTTTAAAAAAAACTGAAACTGGCTAAAGAAATGATTATTTTTTATATAATTTAATTGAAGCAGTAGTTGATCTTTTCATTAGATATTTATTTTATTTCAAAAAGAAACAATCTATGATAGTTTTTAACCTTGTTCATAAATAGGGTGTGAGTGTGAGTGTTGGAGCGAATGTAAGTTTTGTCTTCATCTTCCCAACATCCACACCCTTGTCATCGTCATGTTTGTAAAAGAAACTATTATAAGAAAAATATTCATTTCTGATCAAAATCACTTTGGGCAATCATTAGAATACGCCTAATAGCAATAATCAATACGGAGTGTCATCTATTTTGAGTTATGCCACGCCACGACAGTTCGATACTACTACGCCACTGCAATGAGTGCTTATCATTGGTATATAATTTTTTGTGCCTTTAGCTCGATCTAACACGATATTAAAGAAAAAACTTCGGTCTCGTTTTCTCAAATCTAGTTCATCATGGAGAGTTGCGTTTTTTTTTGCTTTTTATGGCAAGTGATGCTCCTTCGGGTAAGGGGAAAGAATTTTTTAAATAGACTCTAAGTCTATGGAAAAGCTCTGATGGCTTTCCAAGACTTTAGAGGTTTCAACATCTCCTAAACTTACAGAGAACAACAATACAAAAATCCCTTCCTCTCATCCGAAAGGCTAAGCATTTCTCTTTCAGATGAAACAATCCCCAGTTCTATACCTTGAAGTATAGTAAAAAACACAATTTGTACGGGTGGAGGATCCATGTTGGGCCTTGATCTCTAGAAAACTTCTAAACGATGAGGTTTGGAGAAGTAAAACAAATTTTGTAAGTTTACTTCCATGGGACCAAGATTTGTGGAAAGTTTCAGGATCATTCAATGCACAGCATCAAAAATCGATTTTGGAAGGGAGGAGGCAGGGCGAGCGGCCTTAATTCATCTTAAAGAACAATATTACCAATAAAGTTGTGTAGATATTTCTTTTTTTTTTCTTACAAACATTATTTAATATTGATCGAACATTAGACTTTGGATTTAATCAAATCTACTTGTATGAAAATGTCTTTTGTGTTTTCTTTTCTAGATGGAAATGAAGCCATTCATGAATATTGTAGTCGCAATGGATGAAAAAAATGCAATTGGATATGAAAGAAAAACTCCATGGGGACCATTGCCAACTGATCATGAGTGGTATTTGACACACGCAACAACTACAAAAGATGCATCAAAACGTGTTGCAGTTATTCTTGGACGTATTACATTTGAAGGTGTAATTAAATTCCATAAAAAATATCTTTCAAGATGGCATTTTATTGTTATTACCAAGCAACCACCAAAAGTATTTTATAATACCTATTCAGATTATATTAGAAATCAAATTGATGTCGCAAATTCTTTTGATCAAGCTGCTCATAAAGCGAAACTACTACTTGACACACCGAGCGCTATGATTGAATCTGTCTTTGTGTTTGGCGGTGTTAGTCCATATGAACAAGCACTAAAATCAAAACTTGTTCAACGAGTTTATTTAACAAGAATTTTTGCAGAAGTTCCTCAATGTGATGCTAGAGTATTGAATTTTGACTTAAGTGATTTTCGACGAATAAAACGATCGAGTAGTGAAATTCTTGCGGAACTAGATGATAAAATAGTTGAAGAAAACGGATGGCAATATCAATTTCAAGTCTATGAACGAAATAATTTATGACAGAATATTTTATCTAATAAAGAGTCATTTTTCTGAAGTGACTTTTATATTTTATTTAGAATTTTTAAAGAAATTACTTTAATGAAGCCGGTTCAAAACTTAATAAAGAAGATTCATGATAAGAAAATCTATCATTTTTATTAAGATGTGGTGAGCTCTGTTTGACACACCCACATTCCACACACAAGTCGTCTGTTATGATTGGCAGCGATAATGTTAAAGCCGTTTTCACAGTACGAAATATGGGTAGGTAATTACATGCAGAATAAATTCTGGCAGAACTAAGATGGAGAGTCTCGGCTTTCACGTTTAGCAAAAGGAGATGACAATATATTGAACTGTGTGTTATAATTTTTTCACCTGGTTTTTTTAATCATTTTCGTCCGACTTTTTTTTTTGAAAATAACTCTAATTCTCGAACTGCTTATTGTGAATTTTCAATTATCAAGTGTGCATTCGAATTGCTAATTAAAGATCTACATACCTGTACAAGAGTCAGATGCTTAAGTTTCATCACTCAGGAATTATATATAGATTCTAAATGAAATTCGATGTTGCCAAATGAGTCATTTTTGACTCTTGCTAGATGAGTATGCTTAGGTCAAATTCAGTTTTTGGGAAGAGAGAGACTTTAGCAGTCGAACATGCTCAAATTGGTATTAGTAGGAGAATATATCTTAATGATCGTATTTATTTAATATTTGCTATTATAATAAGTTTTAAAGTGTACTATTTTAATTAATATGTAGAAGTCAGTGATAAAGGATAATCTTTTTTTATTTGAAATCGACAAAAAAAACATTTTTTAATTTTATTGAATAACTTATTATCAAATGTATGTTCAAATAATTTTTCCTGTAAAGAAAAAAAAAAGAAAAACTAAGCGATCATAATTCATTTACCAATCGAACGAAACGAAAACACATAGCACACTTGTGCATTCGTTAGACAAGATTCAATAGAACACAATGATTGGATAAACACTGAGTACACACCATGAATTGAATATAAAATAACGAATATATGTCAATTATATCAGTCATGTCGTCGATTACGAGTAATTTATTAGATAATACCACTAAACTTAGGTGTCTTAACTCACCAATACCACATATTATTCAACCCTATAATATTCATACTCATAGTGATATTGATACAAAATCTGTTGGTTCAAAATCTGTAGGCTCACATACATCAAAATTAACTTATAGTGGTACGAAAAAAAAAGATATTATATTTCTCTCATTTTCTTTAATTTAGAATACCCACAAGTACGACCAACGAATCCACTTTATTCAAGTACATTTACTCTTCGAACTCTTTCATCAGCTATTTCAAATGTATCAAGTGCAGCAACTGTTGTTGAACGTCGAAAAAAATTTGATCCACATACACCAAAATATCCTTATGATTGGCGTTGGTTTGCTGTTCTTTGCATTTTGCTTTTTCCATTAACAGGTATAAAACTGAATATTCGAAGAAATTAACTACTTGTTTTTTTAAAATCTTTGATGTTTTTCTTAAGGTGTAATTGCATTTGGTCTTGCTTATAAAGCACAAATAAAATTTAAAGATGGTTTTATTGATGAATCTCGTAAACTTAATAAACGTGCTTTTACTCTATGTATTATTAGTGCTATTTGTGGTATTAGTCTTCTTCTAGGTTTTTTATATGGATTCGATTCATGGCCACGTACAAATGGTTAATATTTATTCGTCAGATAAAACTTTTATTTATATTACTCAGGAATGATTGCTTTTTCTTTGATTATATTTAACTTTCCATGTATATGTTAGGTAGTGGCTCTATCTTTCACCCACTACCTATCTCTTCTTCTCTCTTCTATATCTTTTCTTGATTGGTCATCTGTGTGGAACGATCAATATATGTTTTTTTGTTATATTGTTATGTAGAGTAGTTGTGAATGAGAAGATAGAAAAATGAAGACAATAAGTATTTAGTTAGTCATTACAGACTAACAGTATAACTTTTTGTTTATTATTTGCATTCCGAATTCTTTTTTTCTTTTTAAAGTAATAACTAAAATCAGATTTATTTAAATAGAATAGCAATATGTGTAAATATTTGTGTTATAATTATTTTTTTTTTTCAAAATAAAAGATAATAATTGTCTTTGTTTTAGAATAATTGAAATATCTTTGTATTAGAGAAAACATTTATTTGATCAATAGACATTACAGATTTTTTTGTAAATGCAATCTTTAACATTAAAAAATTTAAATATTGATGAAAATCATAATATGACTGATAATGTTGAAGAAGAAGATGATCTAAATGCAAAATATAATCGTTCAGCTCATATTGAACCATTTCATCGACAAAGACGTATTGATGGTACATTACCATTTAGTGAACAAATAATAACAATGAAACATATTATAATAACAAATGGATATGATGGACGATATATGAGTAATGGTGATATGACAGAAACAGATTTAAATCAAGGTGGAATTTGGAAAGAAATTATTCATAATGGTATTGGACTAAAACCAAATATAGGTGCTTCTGTGTAAGTTTTTCTTATATGTTTACAATACTTTAAATGTGATTGAAAGATAATGATATAAGACACAAATTGTCTTAATCTTACGAGAGCATAACTCGAAGTAATAAATTGCTTTTGAGATGAATTTTATCTCGTCGAGTAGGCCCTATTAGAACTGGAGAAAACCTTAAAGGAGTTGTGTCTCTGCTTGAACTATAGTCAGTCTAGTGAGTTGTAAGTCTCCATCTCCAGCCGATCTTTGTCATTCTATGTGCTGAAGGTCTAAAACTTTGTGTACACTTACTTCATCAAGAATGTAGGTCATTTGTATTACGAAGTTGTCATTGCTTAAATGCAACGAGAATTATCATGGAGAGCTCCAATTCTTTTTCTCTGAGCATTATAACCTAAAAAAGACTGCTTACAAAGCTTTACATTGTTTCTTACTAAAAGCATGACTAATTCTTGATATTTTTACATGTAACCGAAGTCTCATCTACGATCTGTCTTCACTCAAAAGATAATTTGATTTACTCGAATATTGACGTTTCTAGGTCTTTAGGTCTAATGAGATTATCATCTATGTTACGTTTCTCTTTAGTACAAGATTTTCTTTTGAAATTTGTAGGTAATAACGTATCATTGCAGAAGAAACTTGCGAAAAACTTTCAACTCATTTCATTGATCTATCACTGAGTTATTGACTTCCAAAGAGTAGTAGATCATTTCTCTTCACAACAATGAGCATAGTCTTTGAAAGGATTGATAAGGTTCAATGAAGTCAATAGTGTAGATAACTGATACATAGCATTACATATTGAGGAATCTAATGACAGAGAATACTCTTCCTTTAAAGGATTATGAGACTGACAACAAACGTAGATGTCATCCATCGTAACTTCCTCTATAATTAAACAATAATGATGCCCAGAAGTGCAGTACATACAGTGGCCGAAATCGGTTGGGGCACAGTCTTTTGTTCACCATTGTAAATTTCCCGATTGGATTCACTTGTTGTGATAGCATCAGATTTTCTTGTATCTTTCATGTTAGGATATTATGTTATTGAAAGACTCAGTAGAACAGCCATTTGTCAAGAAAAAAAGACCGGGACAATGAGACAAACAGATGTTTGAGTCGGAACTAAAAATCGTAGTTAAACTTTCTCTGAATTTGATCGAATTATATTATAAATCACAAAAATCCAAGCATGAGCATTCAAGACTTCTTAAGATTTAATTCATATAAAATCGAAAAAAATTTTCAACAGCAATCACATACGAGGAAAAATTCCCAAATATGAGTGCCCGTTTTCAATCGACTTTCTGTCAGTGGGAAGAACTGGATGAATTGATCACGATGGTATAAAATGTTCTTCTTCATAGGCTTCTTTTTTAAGAAGTTAGATAGATCTTAGCTTTTAAAAAATGACTCTCAATTGTTATTTCAGATTTTCCAACTAATCAAGATTCACTGAGAATACTATTTTAAAGACGTATTAATAATTAGCCTTGTCAGATATTTTGTTTGAATAATCGGAATTCTATTTAGTTGTTTTCTTGCATGCTTATTTGAAAAAGTATAATAGACAAGACAATTAATTGAAACCTGATCAACATTCATTTTTAATATGTACCCTAAATAGATGAACATGCTATCGAAATTAGATGAGTTTCGCAATTGGCACGATAAAATCAAGTGAAAGCATCTCAAAGATTTGCTCTCTAAGAATTGAAAAGCCGGTCTACTAGATAGTACGTAAAGAATATCCAACTCATAAACTTCGATAAATTTTGATTTCTAAACAGTATCTTATATATATGAAAAACAGTATAATATTCTCATTGGAAGTAAAACATACTTATTAAACTATATCTTCGTTTATAAACAACTGTCATGATCTTTAAAAAAAACCTAATTTTTTTTCCAGACGATTACATTATTATGCTTATTTTGAACATCGAGATGAACCATTTGATACATCATTTAAACGTCGACGTCCACTTGAATTTCGTTTAGGTAAATATGAAGTACTTCCTGGTATTGATCTAGCTGTTAGGACAATGCAAAGACGTGAACGTTCAAAATTTATAATCAGTAGTGATTTATTATATGGTGAACCTGGTTGTGCTCCACATATACCTGAATCAGCATGGTGTCTTTATGTTATTGAACTTTTAACAACAAATGAATCTTCAACAGTTATTCATGATGAACAATTATTAATAAAAACAACAACAGATAAACAACAAATAGATGATTTTGCTAAACGTATAAGATTAGCTCAAACATTACGTAATACAGGTAATGAAGAATATGCAAATAGTCAATTAGATCGTGCATTACGAAGTTATAATAAAGCACGAAAATTAATTCATAATAGAGTTACAATTATTGACGGTAAACATGAAGAACAATATCATCAATTATTACTCAAACTTCATCTTAATTCTGGTAGAATTAAAATTTAAAAAAAAAACAAACTCCGAA